GAAAGTCTTAAAGAATTCCAGCTTTGAGTAGTTTTTAGTGAAGCCTGCATTAAAGGACGGTGTCCACTACAGAGAAAAGGAAGCATGCTCTACTTGAGGAAAGGTCATTTTAACCATTCTTCTCAGGAAACCTCAAGTTTAAATAGAACACACTGTTTTTACATTTTCCATTTCTTTTTTGAGCATTCCACAGTTCTCTTCTCTATGGCAAAACAATAAGCATTACATGTGTACTTCTACACTCAATACTTTTACACTTATTACATCTATTATCTTTGCTAGTAGTCTGTAACACTGGCAAGCCAAGGAGAAACCACAAGACAGTGGCATTCAGGAGCAAGAGTTATACATGGAGCTGTTCTCCATGTACTAACCCAGAAAGAATAAGAAGGCACAGAATAGTAATTTCTGATTGACAGAGAAAGTTCTAAGGCAATATCTCAGCATTGCTGGCACACAGCATCTCTGGTACACAGAGATACTCATGCAGGTTTAAATGCTCTTTTATAATCTCTCTAACAGCAAACTCAACTAAGGTGACTTAGAAGAAAAGTTGCCGAGTTTTACAGAACAAAGAAAGTCTCCAATATGAACTCAGTTCACCAGCAACACTGACATCAGTCAGTTCAGTCGACTTCCTCAGGGCATTAACACCCAAGTTCTTGGTGGGAATATTGACTTTAGGATTACTCAGAGGTCTTGTCTTTTTAAGAGTCTGTTTTCATTCCTCAGAACACATATTGGGGGCGGCGCGTGTAGCTCAGTGGGGTAGAGCGCTGGCCCCATATGCCAGAGGTGGCGGGTTCAAACCCAGCCCTGGCCAAAAAATAAATAAATAAAAATTAAAAATAAAAAAGAACACATATTGAGCAGCAAAAACTTCCTCTAAACAACTGTCAGCACACAGTTACTCAAAGCTTCATGTATGTTTGCACATGTTACAACTAAAAGCAGTAAGAACTTCAGGGATCACAGTTATATAAACCAAAGACTTCCTGCCTGGATTTGCATACAAGGTTAAAGGTGGGGCAGCCACTTTGCCACTCCCATGTGTCTTTGTTAATTTTCTGACTGGATTATCTGTCTGTTGCTGAGAGTGGGGTATCAAAGTCTACTATTATATTGCAATCTATATATTTCTCCACCTTCAGATTTTTAATATTTGCTTTATATACTCAGGAGCTCAAATGTTGGGTGCATAGGTATTTCTAATTGCCATATCTGCTCACTGAATTGACCCCATTATTATTATATAGTGATCTTTGTACAGTCTTTGATTTGTAGTCTATTTTATCTGTTCTAAGTACAGCCACTCTTGTTCTTTCTTTGGTTTCCAATTGCATGGAATATCTTTTTCTAACCCTTCACTTTCAGCTTGTGTATCTGTATAGGTGAAGTGGGTTTCTTGTAGAGAGTAGTTGGATCTTATTCATTATCCATTCAGCCACTGTATGCCTTTGAATTGGAACATTGAGTCCATTGCATACATTGTTATTACTGATTAATAAGAACTTAGTACTGCTATTCTGTAGCTTATTTTCTAGTTGTTTTGTAACTAACTTCTCTTTTCCTTTCTTCCTTTCATGCTGTCTTCCTTTGTGGTTAAATGATTTTATCAGAAGTATATTTTAACTTGTTACTTTTTATTTTTAGTGACTCTATTATAGGTTTTTGCATTATAGTTTCCACGAGGCTTATAAAAACATCTTATAGATATAATAAAATTGTTTCGAAGAGATTACAACTTAGATTATAAAGAAAAGATTATAAACAAGGAAAAAATTGTTTGGGTTGAATCTCTGTAGTATTTTCTGACCTTTCTATACTTAGATATTCTCTTTCTTGAATACTAGTAATTCTTTTAGATTTGACCTTTTGAGGTAATTTTTAATATTTTGTAGTTAACCATTCTTTTTTCATTTTTCTCCTCTTTGTATTTTCAAACTTCTAATGTACAGTATCACTGATTCTTTGTGGTATACTTTATCTGAATTCTGCTTGATCCATTCTGCTGGAGAGAGCCTCTAATAAACTTTAATGTTCAGCAAATGTATTTCTCATTTCCAAG